CCACCAGATAAGGACACTGAATTGCTTAGAGCAGTGGTTCCCAACCTTCCTAATGCTGCTCCCCTTTAATACAGTTCCTCATATTGTAGTGACCCCCCTACCATAAAATTATGTTCATTGCTACTACATAACAATTTTGCTACTGTTAATGAATTGTAATGTAAATATCTGATATGCAGGATGGTCTTAGGCAACACCCATGCACCCATGAAAGGGTCCTTCAACCCCCCCCCAAGGAGTTGTGGGCCACAGGTTGAGAACCAGTAGCTTCAAACATCAAGTTAAACCTGTTTGAAGCTAGTGGCAAATGGTGGAAAAGCCCAGGCCCCAACCCCATCCTGGTCACAATTTTATTGCTGGTGCTGCCGGCCTTCAGGCCTTCAGTATTGCTCAGAGTCTCTTCCTTTTCCTATAGGGTCCTGAGCTTACTCATTCAGGAGCCAGTTGCTAGATTTAATGTTTGGCTATGATGCTATTTCCTTGCCGGCCTCCCAAAGCTCCTTCCCAAGGCACCCTGCCCAGTAACTCTGGAACCAGTGGGAAGTTGGGTAACTTGTCCACACTGGGAATTGTAAGCTTCACGAAGTATCCGCAGAGGAAAAAAAGTGCACAGGTTTCAGTGGCAAAGGGAGATATTAATCCTAACACAAATTAATTACAGTGTGGGCTTTGCATGTGATTACCCCACCATTAGCGGGGCTATTTGTAACCACACCAGCTTCCTAGACTTCAGCAAATATATTATCTGTAATATGTCCCCCTTTGGCCCTCTCTAACCGCATTTGTGGCCAGGCTCAGGACATCTCCTTATAGCAGCAGCCCCATAGAACCTCTTGTCTCTCCTGAGCAAGCTCAGAGAGTGTCAGGGACAGCAAAGACCCAGCATTACTGTGACCTCCTGTGGCCTGGACTTCAATGCTGGAGCCAGGGAAAGGGAGAGGGAGCGTCTGGCTTTCTCACTTCCACGTCCTCCTTTGAAAAACCAAGACACTGACTTTTCATAATTTAAAATCCTGCCTAAGTCTGCAAGCATTAGGATTCCGAGACTATGACTGAGTATTAGTATGTGTCTGCTCTAAATGTCAAGAGAGTCTTTAATAACAACATGTGAGGAATGTTAAGATGGTGAGGGAGCACAATAAAAGTAGGGAAATTCTTGAGTTGGGGTGCAGTGAGCCGTGGGTCCCCCACTAGCTGAACATGACAGTTGGTGGTTAAGAAACCTCCACCACTTTTCTCCCGAAGGCATGCGCATGGCCGTGGACTGGGTGCGGAGCTTCTGCTGGGCAACTGACCAGGCTGGTGGAAGAGTTTGAGTTGCTTCCCTTCCTTCCAGAGACTCCTGTTTAGGGTGTGTGGGTCTGGTTTCTAGCCGTCTGCATTTTGCTTTGATCATGTACAGCTGAAGGAGCAGTGTAACTGAGTGCTCTCTGTTGTCACTGTGTAAAAGCTTTCTCTGAAAGTGATGACTTCACTCACTGCTCAAGTCCACGCAAGAGCGGGGTCACCCAGACTCCTTTGCTTCCATTTGCACTCTGTGTCCTTACAAAAGCCCAGACTTCCTGCTTAAGTGAAACCTCAGAGTCTAGTGGTGGTCTCTTTGGGGACATTCCAGTCCTTCCTGCTCCTCGGGTGGGCTAGCTGCTACCACTGCCCATTCACCCCACTCCTTTGTCAGGGCGGGACGAGTGGTAGAGGGAAGGTCTCTGTCATTCAGGGAAGGCCCCAGTGGGTAAAGTTAGGCCCAGCATTATAAAGCAGGGTTCTAGCCTTGCTCCTGTCCCTTTTGGTGCTGTGGCCTTACAGGTGTCCATTCCCTGTACATCAGTTCCCCCATTTACGGTACATAAGTCAAGGGGACCAGAGCCACAGTGATCTTTATTTGTGTCCAAGCAGATAGATGACTCACACCTTTTCCTCACCCGTCCCTAAGAACTGTGGTGCTTTTACGTATTTACACTCACTCATTTCTGTGGAGTACTGTGTGTCACTAACAAGAGCTGCCAGACTGTCCTGGGAAGAGTCCTCCTGACAGCTGGCAAAAGTAAGATGGTAAGGGAACCCCAAACTCCGCTCCCTATCTCTGCCAGAAGCCCATGCTGCACCTCCCTGGGTTTTGTTTTTGCAGACATTGAGTGGAGTGCTTCGTCTTTGGCATTTGTCAACAGTTTTGGGGCAGTGCATATGTTCTGAGCTTCCACACCTTGTTTAAAACCAGTTTGAGGCTTGGATGATAGAAGGGGGGGTGACCCATACCATCCAATGGAGAAAAATCGCTGTCCAGAGTCGAGGGCAAGAGGCCCAGAGATAAATCTATCAGAATTAGACACCATCTTCCCTGTGCTTTCTGTCCTGTTCTAGTCTTTAAAACGGGGGTGGGGGGGGACTGGGAGGAGGGGCTCATTTCTCTCTCACCCAGACTCACAGCTGACTCCATTATACCCCATTATGTGGATCCTGATTCCAAAGATATACCCAGCCAGTGTAGACTAGACTGATTTAATTCCTCCTTTAAAAAAAATTGCAGCAGGTATTTTTAACCTCCATGAAGCATTCATTAGTCGCTGTACTGAACTTGCTCTGTACGGGAACTCATGTTCAGAACAACCGTATGAGTTCGGAGATGAGCAATCCATATTTAGGAGGAAAAGATGAAATGCTTGGAAGCATTACAGAGTGTGCCCAGAGGCCAGAATTTGAACACAGCACAATAGGATAGCCTGTCCATTATCTAGTTCCATTCTGCTGTCTTTCAACAGAGTTGGTGTACAGACCCCTGCTCAGGAGTACCCTGTAATGAAGTCCATTGTCCTGCCCGAATGGCACCCACCGTGGGGAAAGATTGCAAGAACAATTCTCTGCTGACATCACAACATATTTTATGCTTTAATTTGCCAGCCAGATTGCTAGTTGGCTTTGGACAGTCTCTCAACCCCCTTTTCTTGGCTTTTCGTGGAATTTCAAGTGAAGAGGGAATACTAAGGGTGTATTTCCTACCATAAGATGTCTGTATTCTCCCATTATGTAAGGAAGTAAGGCTGGAAAAGTGGGTGGCACTGAGGAGTCTGTGGGATGTGCTCCCAGTGGCAGTAAGCTTCGGGGTGTGGGTGTGGTCCTGTGCACACATTGTGGTTGCTCTCATCTGTTGGAAGGTCAGGTTCGGGGGTGGGGGGATGGGAGGAGAGGACCTTCCCTGGTTCTGGGGCTTTAGGGTTTTTTTCCCCTTTACCATACTTATTCCTTGTAATTGCTACATCGGAGATGTTTACCCCTAAATTAAGTCACAATTAATATTCAGCAGACTCTTCAGTAAATACCACCTCTCACCCCTTAATTTGTGTTCTCCGGCATCGGTAGTCTACTTACTTCATGTTTTCAGAAAGAGTGACTTGCATGGCTGAATTTCTTCCAGTGCCATGATAGTTTTCAAAACAAAACTTAAAAAAAAAAAAAGACAGAGTAGTTTGGTTTTAGTATAAAGACAAAAACAAACAACAACAACCAAAAACCCTTTATGGCACTTAACGTAAAAAAATGAATAACCATAGTAAAATGTTATTCCCAGCATTTTGATTGTTTTGTCTGAGCCGATGAAAACTCAAATTCCTTTGGCATTATGTGTTTTGAGAATCTTTGTTTGGCAGTTCAATAATGCACCAAAGAACAGAGGATGAGTAACATAAAGTAGACCCTAATATGGTATCATTTTCATTTCCTGTTTGTTGAAAGATAAATCCCCCCCCACTTCTTCCTAATTTATTCCTCCCTGAACCACAAGGGAATAAAAAGGAATAAAAACTTAAATGTGATATGACTGTTGACTGAGCCAGCCGGTGGGAAAGAGGCAGACACGGTTTTCTGCTGCCATTGCACCCGGCCCTCTTCTCTGTCTTCCCCTGACTCCTGAGCCCCCACCTCGTGTCTCCCCACCACCAGAAATAACTGGGTTAAAAATGTGAAGTGCGTTTAATTTTGGCATAATTTTAGACTTAAAAAAAAACCTTCTTCCTAAAGATTTAAAGTCAACTTTGAGGTATTAAAGGAATAGATAGGTTCCCCACCCTGCCTCTAAGCATTGTTTGGGACAAACTGTCTGTGAAGCTTTGTGCAAAATATTCCTCCCTTCCCATGTCTACATTGTCCCTTCATGCTACATACATCTGTTTCCTTAACTTCATTTTATTTTGGAGGCCATGTCTACATGCTACATAATCTGTTTCCTCAACTTCATTTTATTTTTGGAGGCTATATTATATACTACATCATTAGAGGTCCTTGCCCCAGCTTTCTTGTGATATAACAAAGTTAACACTGTATCAAAATGGTCCAAAGCCAGCATAAAGGTTCTAGCATCTAATGAATAGTGACTTTCTACTCTGCCCATCCAGTTAGAAACTTCTGTAACATCAGAAGATAACTTTTCATGGAATGGAGATATTGGGATCATTAAGGGAGCATCTAGTGGGTACTCAGATGTTGAACATCTGAAGCAGGGAATGTATTGTTCACCTAAAAATGGGAAGCCCTCAGTACTGATATCCCTGTTTCTCCCAGCTATGGTCACCTGCCAGTTCCAGTAAGACATACTCAGTTAACTTCCCAAAAGTGTATCCAGGTGTCTGTGAGTTTGTCCACAACCACAACAGATGAGTTTATGAGTGTGAGCTTGCTGCTTTTCTTCCCGTGGCCTCCTCATGAATCAGCTTGGCTAATGGGTATGATTCACGCTTGCCTTTGAGCTGTCCATGTTCCCCGGGACTCCTTGGTGCCAGCAGGTCTAGAATGTCCCAGTTAAAGTCTAATGCACCTTGTGTTGGGAAATCTCACATCAACACCTCCGGTTACTTTGACTTTGGCAGGGGTCCTATAGATTTCAAATGATGAAGTAATAAAACTGATTCTGTCATGTGCTGTAGTCAGTTGGGATATGCACAGTTTGAGGTATTCAAGAGTCACACATCTGTATTCATAGACATAATTAAGCCTTTTCTTCCCAATAGCTTGCAAAAGACAAAGAGCGCCTGCAAGCCATGATGACCCACCTGCATGTGAAGTCTACGGAACCCAAAGCTGCCCCTCAGCCCGTAAGTACTGGTCCACACCAGGGGGAAATGGCATCACAAACTAGTGCATTCCTTCTCCGCCTCCCACCTCAAGCACGGGGAGAATAGCTCCAGAGGGCAGATGTGAATTCCCAAGCTCTTCTTCACCTGACTCTTTCTGGCCTTTTCTGGAGAAGACAGGCAGGATGCTAGGCATCAGGAGGAGATCTAGGATGAGACAGACATGATATTCATCCTAGGTTTTTGGAAGGCTCCTTTGCTTGTCTTCTTTCTTTGTACTGGGTCATAAAGTCAAGTTCTCACTAGGCACATGATATCTAAAGCAAACGTCCTGCTTTGAACCTTGTTCTTTACCATAAGCTGATCTCATCAGCGTTGGTATCACTCACATACATTTCTGGAAGTTTCCTAGTAGCTTTAGTTGATTATTCAAAATGGAGGCCATGCCTTGGTTCCTGATTTTAAGATTTGTAAAATTTAAAGGTACGCTGACTTTATTTGATTTTGCTGGGAGTCCCTGTGTGAAAATTAATTGAGCGTTGACAATCTATAGTTAGTAGCAGCAATTTTAATCAACATGCAATGATGCAACATAATGGCAAAGTATTGGTTTATCTGTTTTGACTGATTTTTTTTCTATAAATAAAGCAAACACACACCCCTATATGTATGATGTATGGTGATAGAAATGAAACGGAGTCAGACTATTAACCCAGTAAATATGGTAGCCTGCCAAGATGCAGTTGGCAGACAGAATTAATGTCTGAAGCAGAACACATTACTGAGACACAGGACATAAAATCATTAAACACTCCACACATCCATTTTTACTGAGAAAGAGTCGTAGCTTCCATGTATCTCACAGTGAATCACTGCAGGATAGGATGGCTAAGCTACCAAACAGAGAAGGGGTGGGAAAGGAGTCAGACCATTCAGAGCTCTTCCCACCTGTCTCGTCTTTTCAGATGAGCACTGGAAGAACCTGAACCCAGCTGAGCAAATTAGTACTACCCTGAAATGATGTCATGACCAGTGACAAAGGGGAGTGATTGCCCTGAATCTCTCTGGAAGTCCTCAGTGGTTTTAGTGAAGTGCTTGCCCCAGATGGAAGACTCCCAAGTCTTCACACCTAGCAATGGGGAGAGAATGAAGTTGTCCCCATCTTCCTCCATGGATTAAAAACAGCCATGATAGTCATGACTGAATGTAGCACTCTGGTAATAGACTCGTTTTAGATAAAGGCAAAGGAGGAATCCACATAAAGAGACGGAACTACAGAGTTCCTTGGGGCCCTCAGCGGGTAATGGGGCCTGGGACTAGCTAGGAGCACCATATATATAAGCCTGCATGGGCACAAGAGGACCCTTGATGCTCTGTCTCCTGTGGACCTGTGCTAAGCAGCCAATAAACAAGAGAGAAGCAGCTGGGGGTGAGGGAATGAACAGGGAAGGAAGGTTTGTCTTGATTAGTATTGAAAAAAATGTTTTACATTCTAGAAAATTATAACTTTGAAGGGGACCTCCTACTAAATTTATTTTTAACTGCTCTATTGAAAATTCTCTACCACTAGTCAACATTATCTCTTAGTAGCTCAGCACAGTATTTCTTTATTAAAAGAAATAGGCACGAATATTTTTGACTGAAAAATTAATAGCTTTTGAATTCATACACAGCAGGTTTTCTTTTGCAAAGAAGTCCAATATCGCTGCACAGCACTTCTATAACCATTTATTTAGCGTCCAAGTCAAACCTTTGACAGCTAGAGCGGTGCTACAAGCCAGTATAAAGAGCTCCAAGATGTAAACCAACAATAGCCCGTCTGTGTGAGGTTTGCCATTGTCAAATACATAGATTGTTTGGATTAGTTTATGTAAATGTACTGTTGTATTACCCTTTGGGGAAAAAAATCACATTTGTGTATGAAAAGTGGTCCCCTCACAGGCAGCATTATAAATTCCTTATCCTTTAACTTACATGTAAGAAGTAAAAATTGGTGCCTGACACGTAGATATTGTGTGACACTCTGTTGTCGGAGTGAACCTGCCTCCTTTTCATTTATTGGAAAATAGAAAATTTTATTATAGATACCATCTTATAAATCAGGAATTATTAAAATATGTATAGGTGAGGCATTGGAAAATTAATTATAAAAGATAGACGTGTAATGTTTTGCATAAATTTTCACTTCCTTGCCAAAAGAAAAGAAAGAAAGGGGAAAAAAGGCCTATGCATATTTCAGGCCCCTTGATGCTTTCAACTTTAGGGACTCAGAGCTATCTGGTGACTGATCCTAACATTCAGAATATTCCCTACAGCCTGTAATTAATTTATTCCACCCTAAATAATGGAACGGCTGGTGAGCATTTGAATGAGTACCACTCTAGCATCTGTGGTTTGGAATAACTAGTCACTGAGTTTCACATCTAACCATAGATGGGGACGTCCATGTTACAGCCTTGCTAGTGAGTTTATGAAGTTGTTTCTTTTTCCATTTCTGTTTAAAAGGAACTTGGTGTTTATTTAAAAATTCTTAGTCACTAAGTGATAGAGTACTCAGCTGTAAATGTTGCCCTCTGCTAAATGCTGTTTGGGTGGTAAGTGTCTTTTGTACCCAGTGGTCCACTGTGTCCCCGGTTCCTCCCATCGGAGAGCTGCCAGCACATTCTCAGATGGCTCTTACATCAGAGATACATTTTCTGGATCCCACAGTGGGGTGCATCTTTAGGTTTGGATAGTGACAGGATGTGCACATTCCCAGAACAGTGTCCAAGGGTGCAGACAAGGCTCTGAGATCCACCCACAATGGGCTGCAATCGGATGCCTGATGGGAACAGTATCTCCCCAACCTCGTGTCCTGCTGTCTCCTTGGGTAGCACATCTTCTGGTGGTCATCACATCTCTTTTCTCATAATTGGAATTCCTGAACTTAGGAATCAAACCATTCCATCAAGGGGAAGTAACTTGGTCAAAAGGGAAAGACCTGTACTTGTCGTGGAGGTGTTTGGAGTCTTGCGAACAATCTACCAGATAATTGCATCATGCGTGCATCTGTGTGTGTGTGTGTGTGTGTGTGTGTGTGTGTGTGTATTCACACATTATTTGTTGTATTTGTTGAGTAGAGAATGCTGGATGGGACTAGGAAAAGTAACCTGGGAAAACAATGTGTCATTTGAAACCTAAAAACTGAATAGGATTATTATCTACAAGGAAAGAGGTCAGCGTCCCAGGTCTTCCTCTGGTGAGGAATTGGTACACAGAGTTGTGTGTCTTGTGTGTCTGATGATGGCAGTTGGAAGAGGACCGTGTACTTTGAGGGTCAGAATGGAGGAAGGGAAGGAATCACCAATCTTGGAAGTCTACTGTCATGGAAAAGGCCTAGCTAGAATCTAGCAAGTTCTAGCAGCTAGGTACCAGGAGAGAAAAGGCTGTTGTTGACATATGTTTACAATAGCCAAATTTGTTGTAGTTTAAGATTTGAAAGTTCTTCTGTTTTCCACGGAAAGAGAAGCAACAGCAAAACGCAGAAAATAGTCTGTCATTCCTTTGTTCCAAACCCAGTTCCATTCCCAGAGTGAACAGCACAATGTCTATACTTAACTCCATGCAGAATTGGCTGAGATGTAACTCAACACAGAAGGACAACAAAAGGAAACATGTCTGTGTAAGGACTTTATTAAGTTGTCGGTGACTTCTTACAAAACCGTTTTGCTACACTGGTGTTAGGAGTGCGCAGTGCAAGCTCCACTTCATAATGGGGAGGGAGAAACGTCTTCGCTTTGGGGATTCCTGCACTTGTGAGAAACCGCATTCTTTGAGATTTGGTGGGCAAGCAGGTACAGCACAGGTAGTGAAGCCTACTTTATGAAAAATTCGTAGAGCACTTTTGGAATGAAATGCTCCTTGAGATTATCCTCATTGCACATTTTCTTTGACTCTAACTATAGCATTTAGGACTGTTTTTGAAATAGTTTTTAGGTCCTGTGAAAACAGCACGACCCCTCCATCCCCTTGGAAAAAAAGAGCCTGTGAACTTCAAGGGATGGGTGACAGGTGTGGGCTTCAGGGGCCTCGGGGCAGCAATGGTGGCCTGTCATAGACAGACCCTCAAATGCAGCACACAAAAGCTGTTTTATAGACTGCTTTTTGTTAAGTCCCCGTCCTCACCTCCGCTTGGGTTTGTTGTTCATGTCGCTGTCAGGGGTGCCACCCTCTGAGTCTCTAGAATAAACCAGGCTCCCATCAGAGTGCAGAGTCCTTCCCAGAGGCCTCCCCCCTGCCATCGACTGCCCTGCCCCCTGTCCGTGAAGTCTGAACTTGGTGATTCAACCCTACAAAGGCAGCCTCCAGTCTCAGAACACTGCAGGTGAGGGCAGGGCCTAGGCCTCTCAGGCCCAGCCAGCCAGCAGCAGAGAAACCAGTTGGGTGAGCCGTGAGTCCCCCCTGTGCAGAGCTGGTCTCTGGTGTTTTGGTTTCGGGTTTTTCTTTTGTTCTCAGAATCTGTTTTCATGAGAAGCAAGAGCACAAACAAAAACAAAAAAAAAAAAATGGGTTCTTGTGGGAATACTCCCTAACAAGTCTGCTTCTGTCTGGGGTTTGCATCAGCGGTTTGTTTATTTTTTATTTTATTTTTTCTTTAATGAGGGTGACTCACCATCCTTACTCTTGAGGGGAGTGTGCTGTGGAAAAAACTAAAGATTGATTTTTGTTTTTCAAAAGAACAAAGTGCAATATTGGGTAGCTGATAGTTGGGATAGTTTCAGTGGTAGAAGCTTCCAGGAAAGTCCTTCAGTGACCAAACTGAGTTAAAAGTCGGGGCTTGATAGCATAGTTGTTTGTGTTTTTATCTAAAAACCAAAAGCCCGCAACAACTTTAAGTGACATAAGAATTTAGCTCCTGGCCAGAGTTTTAAAGAGATTATCTTTGCTGAGATCATCCCTTCAGTGGCAACTTGCCATGGAGAAAAATATCTGCGTTACTAGCTTTTCTAAACATAGCAACCTCTTCTTAAATAGAAAAATGAACACAATGAGAAAAATGGGCTTTCCATCAGGGAAAGAAACCCTCCCAGTCCAGTCCCTTCCTGCTCTGTGCCTGTGCCCTGGAAAATAAAATCTCTTCTAAACCCTTACCTACACTTAGAGATATGGAACAGGAGGCTTTCCTTTCTCCTTGATGATTGCCCAAAATTTTAATAATTTACAGTTAAGATGCCTATTTCAAGGAAACATCCGAAAACCCACACCACTGTTCCTGATTTGTTCTTTTATCTGTGTGTGTGTATGTGCCTTTGTGTGATTGTTCCTGGTGTGTGTGTGTGTGTGTGTGTGTGTGTGTGTGTGGTGGTGGTGGTGGTGGTCAGAGGTAGACATTCCGTGTCTTTCTCAATCATTTCTCCAGTTTATTTTTCAGACAGGATCTCTCACTGAGCCTGGAACACTGATTCAACTAGTTGGCTTTTTTTGCCAACAAGTGCCAGGGTTTCTCCTGTCTCTGTCTTCCTAGGGCTGGCATTATAGGCTTGAACCATCACACCTGTGGGTGCTGGGGAGGTGACCTCAGGCCTCCATCCTTGGACAAGCTCTTTCCTGACTGAGCGCCCCCCCACCCCCGCCCTGTTTGCTCTTGTAAGATTTTTGGTAGAGTCCTCACTGGTACCCCCTCCCCCTTTTCTCAAAAAGATGGCTTCTCCTCGAGACACCCAGGTGATCACCAGACCAAAGTTTAAAAGTTGAGAAACTTGCGCAGCAGCTGCCAGGGTTGTGTCTCATTAATTTGTTGGTCCACCCTTCTGATGGTCTTGCTCGGCAGAGCTCTCCCTGTTTGGAGTTGCCAGCTTTTTGTTCTTCGCTCTCAGGCTACAGTCATGTTTAATTTAGAGTCTAGGCTCCTTTGGCAAATTAGCAATTAGAGCAATTTTGTGGGAATATGTATATGTGTCATTAGTTTTTCTGCAAATTAATAGCAAGGGCAGAGGTCAGGCAGAAATTTTCCACTTGACTGAAGCCCTTCCATTGAGACTTGGCACTTGGGTTTGGAATGGCCGCAGCTGCTCCCAGACACCCTTTTCCTCTAGGAACTGTCTTTTAATTAGTTTACCTCATAGCCATCATTACAAATATTACTGTCTCCCCTCCCTGAAATAAAATGACTGTTTCTACAAAATATTCCAGCGACATTGTGCGCCACTGCACATTGATGGTGGGGTCAGTCGAACGCACCATTTAATCATTAGATCACCTCCATCCGCATCTCCTAATTAGAGTCCTTACAATACATTTTTATCTGGTAATTAGCTGAGATTGGCTGCTTCCTCTGTGGCTTATTAGAGACAGCACAGCAGTGGGTGTGAATCATGGTGTCATTTGTCAAGCCTGGTAAACCCCTCTCTCTGAGCTTAGTGTTTATTTCTAGTTCCTACCTACATTCGAAAGCCTCCAGAAAATTCAGCCTGTATTACTCTCTCCTAGGATGGATTGGGCAAACCTGGAGGGATCTGATTTCTCCTTGTTGCTGTCTCCATCAGAACGCCTCCAAGTATTAAGCCACTTATAAAAGTTAAGAGAGTCAAGTCTGTGTGCTTCTGACGGCATGTCTCTATGGATTCGCCAATTCTCAGATCTGGGCATTCGGCTTATACCTACCGAATGGTTCCATAGGACTTGGTGAACTTCCTCACAAACTGGAAGAGAGCTTGTGGACTCTCATACTCATTGTTTTCTGAGAAAGTCTGGGTGTATGGGATAATGTTTTTAGGCTAAGAAGTCAAGAACTAGGGTGAGGCCCCAGAGTTGCTGTCTGGATTTTATGTCTGCTTTCCCCACCAAGCACTTGAAGGACAGAAGTTCTGTGGTTTAGTCCTGCTTCCAGGCCTTTAGAAGTTCTTGGTAATATTTGTTGCCATTTGTAAGCAAGGTTAAAAGTTGTTGATGGAAGCTTTTCCAAAAGCAAGCATAACAGAGACATAGGAATGGTACAGTGTTGATGTTAGAGAGGAGCTGGGCACAGTAGAAGGTACAGAAGGCTGTAACAGGGCCACACAAGGATGCGGTTTGACTTTGGGTCTGGTTCAGGTTATGGACAAGCTTCTCCTTCATTCTCTATAACACCTGAGCCATTTGTAGTGGCGTGTGAATAAAGTGAAGCCTCTCAGGGCAGATGTTTCTGAGCATGTATTTTTGTAAATGGTACCCATGGTTTTCCAAAGTCCCCTCATACTTAGGCATTACAGCAGCTGAATGGTCAAAGCGATGTATTTGGGATCTTCCTATACTAATTTTCTAGACACCGCCCCCTTTGACTGATGCTAATACATACAGTTCCTGGACTTAAGGCCCGAGGGGAAGAAGTCGGCCTTTGCTCTTCTCTGTTGGCATCTTGCTGTGTCCTGTCCCTGGTCTCTACTTTGAACTGTTATCACTTGGTTTGCAAATGTGTGTCACGGTCAATTTTCTAGCACCATTGGGAGGGCAGCTTACCACATTGCCCCTGCTCGCTGAAGGTGAGCAAGTGTGTGTCATCTCCCCAGCTTGCTGCTCTTTGGCACTGGGGACGTGTGGTGCGCTGAGTCAGTGTTTCAACCTGAACACAGAAGGAAAAGCAGAGCTGAAAGCTCGCAGCCTACTGTTTAGCTCAGAGCACCAAATTTGGGTTTTCTGTCAATGTTTCTTTTGTGATAATGGGTCTTTCCTTTCTCTTCCCTTGGGACTTACTGCACAGGGAAGATTTTCGTGGTCTCTTTGATTCCTAGTGTATGAATTAAAATATAGTCTTCCCAATACACTGGAGCAAAGGACTCACTTTTAATACCATCCATAAGTAATACTTGTGCTTCATGTCGAATCTGACAGTGGCAAAATAGACATTGTGGTGACTGATTGGAAATGTGGGAAATGTGAAATGTAATAAAATGTGGCCAATAAGAGTGTACTTTGTAGAAGTTTTTTGGGGGGTTGGGAGAGGTTCTCTGAGTATTTGATACCTCCATAAACATGACGAAAAATACTAGGTTCTTCTGCATTGTCAAGCTCAAGGGAATTTTCCTGTCCCAATCAGTTTTGGAGAAGGGCCATGCCTCCCCATAAGAGCTAGAAGAAAGCAGTAGGCTGGAAGGAACGAAGGGTTGTTCACGGATGCTGCTCTACACTCCCTCACATAATATTAACTTCCATAGGCGGACTGCTTAAAACTTTAAAAAGTAACCAAATGTTACAACGTCAAAGGAATACATGTGAGTCTCCTGAGTCAGTGCCACTGTCGAGCGGTAGCCGCAAGGTCCATCATGCACAGCCCCCTGGTCTGTTCAGTTCCATGATGGACTCAAGTCTCAGAACTTCTTGCTGGTCTCTGGTGGCTCAGAGGCCCAAGTGGCTACTTAGTAAATTTATTGCAGTTTTAAGGGGGGAAATATTCAGGCAACAGCACAGCTTTCCAATTGTGGTAGTCCACTGCCCAGAGTTGCACAGGCAGGACAAGCCAGGTTGATGCCACTGTAGTCCAGCTGGTGTTTCTTCAGCCCCCAACCTCGCTGTCATGCAAAGGAATATACCTTTAACTGGAAGTGAGTCCTGGGTAAACATACTGATTTAGACAGGTAACCCTTGCCAGGTGTCTGCCTGTCTTTCCTGTGGGAGGAGAGAAGCTTTCTTGGTTGCTGGGGTTTCTGTTGTTTGATTTGTTTTGGGTTTGCTTTTCTCAAGTCCTTCTAACCAATCTTGTTCTCCTCACAGCTGAATCTGGTATCAAGTGTCACCCTCTCCAAGTCCGCATCAGAGGCTTCTCCACAGAGCTTACCTCATACCCCAACGACCCCAACTGCCCCGCTAACTCCCGTCACCCAAGGCCCCTCTGTCATCACCACCACCAGCATGCACACGGTGGGACCGATCCGCAGGCGGTACTCAGACAAATATAACGTCCCCATTTCTTCAGGTAGCTACTCTGTCTTTGCCGGGGGGCGGCATGGGGAATCTGCAGTTCCTGTTGATGATCCCCTTTTTAAAAAGTGATCATTAATAGGACGATGATTCTTATATTTAGCAGATATTGCGCAGAACCAAGAATTTTATAAGAACGCAGAAGTTAGACCACCATTTACATATGCATCTTTAATTAGGCAGGTAAGTAAATAACACAGACCTTGAACTGCTATCCAAAAGGTATGCGTGGGTATATCCTATTGATGAAGTAGATTTAAAACCACTTAGTATGCAAGCATGCTAAAACCTTTTCTATAAGGTTTTTAAAAACTGCAATATATAACATAATTGCTTTTGATTAAGTATTACAATACGATGTGATTATTAGGGAATTCATTTCACACAACAGTGCGAATGAGGCTGTTTAAAGATGGCAAGTCAATTATCACAAAGCTACAGTAATCTCTGAACCCTAGAATTAATCTGAGCTCTAAATAATTACTGAGCTTTAATCAGCTAGTGAAATGTTTTGCATTTCTCTTTGATTCTGCTTTATGAATGACTAATAAATTAATATTTCTGTACGGAAACAGAAATAAAAATTCCCAACAATTAGATAATTCCATTTCGAGTTTTGCTATTGAACTGTTTAAATACAACCATTAATCTTCGATCATTTTGTGAAACCTGTCTGAGGAGTTTGCTCCAAGTTCCAGTTTGTGTACTCTTGTTTTTTTTTTTTTTCTTTTGTTTTTATTTTAACATTTAATGAACAGTCAAATCACTCTGTCACCGGGGTCATAAATTACCTTCTTTGGATTACTTTTGCTTCGCAGGCCATTCTCGAATCTCCAGAAAAGCAGCTAACACTAAACGAAATCTATAACTGGTTCACACGAATGTTTGCTTACTTCCGACGCAACGCAGCCACGTGGAAGGTAGGCTTTGCAGTCTTGCATTTGACCTTTGTAGAACTAGAGGTTCTAGTGGGAAAAATTCAGTTATGGGGTGACGAGAACATTCCATTTGCACTGGGAATGTGCCTGAGAGAAGGGTTTTGTTGTGGTTGAAATGCTCAAATGGAAGAGGCACCCTGCCACTGGCCCCTACAAGAGGTGTGGCTAGACCAGCTGGAGAATTCTCTGCAGGGAAAGGAGATGACACTGTGACCCTTAACTCTGAGTTGGCCCTTTTGCTCACACGAATCTCATGTCATTGATTAGCAGGTAACTGACAGTCATTTACAGGGCTCCATTTAGTAACCTAGAGACACAACCAAACTGAATGAGATCTTTCAGTGATTAGATCACAGCTCACCAACCCCACAGGTAGAGGAGGTTATGTAATTCATGTGCTCACAGTGACTAGGGTAGTTTCTGAGGAATGCAAGGGTTCCCATTCAGGGCTCATGGTTACCCTGAGGAAGAAAGGTCATTTTAAAACAATGTCGTATGATACCATTTGCCATAAAACAGTCAAATTCCATAACTCCACTAGATAACCGCTTAAAATGCTTGGAGACCCTTCTAGGTTTCAATGGTACCTATTCTATATGTTACCTTAAGCCCTCCTGGGCAGGCATGGTGGTACATGCCAATAATCCCTTGTGAGTACAAGGCCAGGCTGGGCTACACAAATAGCCTTCACAGCATTTCTCAGCTTCCTACTTTTAATTTATTACATTCTGCCAAGTAGATCTTTTTCGTACCACACAGTATTTAGGCTTTGTCCTTATCTGTAATTTAAATAGGTGCTATTACAGGATACAACTTCCTTCATTTAATAGGAAGAAACATGTTTTGGTTTTCCCCCATCATATAAGAAAATAAGTATATGCACAGAATTAATTCAGTAGCCACATGGGGGCTGACAGGAAACTATTTTGCAGATCTTAGCCTCCTTCCCACCCAGCCTCGGGAGATAAAATACAAAGTCTCTTTAGTTATAACTCTTAAAAATTTAAGACCACGAAGTGGGCACTTTCTTCAAATTGCTTTTTGTAAATACCAACTGCTCACATTTAATTGCCAGTTGTGAATATGAATATCAACTCCTCACTCTTTCAGCTTTGCAGAGCAAAGGTAGAATTGTCACTAATACAAGCAGTCTCATAGAAATGACCCATCAGTATAAATTGTCTGTGTCCTTACCAGGACAATGATTTAAATGACAAAAGGAAATAATGCCATTCATCTTTTCCTTCCTTCCTTCCTTCCTTCCTTCCTTCCTTCCTTCCTTCTTCCTCTCTTTCTTCCTTCCTTTTTTTTAAAGCCAACTTTTGATTTTTAGTTTCTTTCTGTTTCAGTGTGTAGCCCTCAAAATCATCCAGTCATTCTTTTCTCAGGATGACCTCTGAGGGTCCTTCAGTTTTTGCGCATTTTGATACTTGGGTAAAATTCCCAGCAGTGATTGATGCTGCCTTGTTCCCCAGATATCTCTCACATGTGTGTCCATGTGCTCTCTTGCTTTGGAAAAGGAACAGGCTTTATTTACTTCTGTGACCTTCATACTGTTAGAGGAAGTAATTCCCTGTGAAATATAAAGAAAAAATTATTTCCTTAAAAGCTAGGTTACATTTATATGCCTAGGGTTTTGTTATTAAGCAGCTCATCAGAAAGCTTTTCAATCAAGGATATCCTTTGATTAGTCACATTGGTAACACGAATCTACTTCCAGCTGTACTCACACGACCCCCTGTGAGCTCCTTCTGTGGATCCCACTGGTACACACATCATCACATATGCAATAAAATTTGTCTTGTTATCTTCTCAGTACTATATCACACAGAAGAATAACTTTTAGGTGACCTGAATCCTCTTAGTCAGCAATTGTCATTGTCAGAAATCTGAAAGACTTCTCAGAGTTTCGAGATCTGCCACTAAGAGAGCAAATTACTATACGATGAGAGTGTAGCTTGTCTGAGCAACAGCATTGCTGGTATAAGGCGCCCAAAGCTCAGTAGATGTGTCAAGTTCCTCTGCCCCGACTGAGCCACTTAATCTGTAGGAGAAAAACCATTACAAGTTCATGGTAAAAGTTTCAAGTGCATCATGGAGTGGGGATCAGGAAGTCAGCCAGGCAGGACCAAAGTCTATCCAGTTTGGTTATCCAGTCAGGGTTGTGGATTTTCCTAGAAATAGGAGACATTTAAAGCTCTCTCCCACTAGAATTAAGAGCATCCTTTTTGTTAGATACTTAGCAATTGCTGACAGTCACTCTTAAATGTAGAAACCAAGTTTGAGAACACAGTCATTTTGCCACTGAGAGTCTTATGTGTATGTTCTTGGCATTTGCTCAGTTACTTAATGGTGTTCCCTTAGTAATTACCCATTTTCATAAACATTCTGGAAGGTAAGGCTTAGCTTGATGGTTGAGACTGATCCCTTGGTGCTGAGGTCTCCCCCAATCATCTTAGCTCTACACAGTGGTACTCTCAGTGATAAAATCCTTGATTTGAAATTTTCCTTTAATGAAGCCTATGCATGGGTTCTAAGGCAGACATTGCTGCGTATTTCAAAGTGTTCACCTTTCATGCTTTAAAAATAAATACCCTTTTATGAATCGTACTTAAATGGGTATGTAAAGAATAGTTTTTATACTTTACATAGCTCCTGATTTTGACATCGTTTTATCAATATTTTAGATTTACATGGAGGGACCTGCTTGGGGCTTGCATGCAAAGTTACCAGTGTAGCTTCTGGTCACATGGTACCTGATATTAGGCTTCAATGCCGGAGTACCATTAATCCATAATTTGGGGTTTTTCATAGAAAAGACACTTAAACACTTAAAGAAAGTCCTCCATGGAGTGGAGGGTGGGGTGGCTACAGCTCTGGGGGATGGTTTTACAGATGGGGGACTGAATGTACTGCTGTGTTTTTTTTTCTTTTTTGAGTCTTTTCTTATAGAAAAACAATGTCAATGTTCTCTCTTTTATACTTGCTGCAGAATGCAGTGCGTCATAATCTTAGTCTTCACAAGTGTTTTGTGCGAGTAGAGAACGTTAAAGGGGCAGTATGGACAGTGGATGAAGTAGAGTTCCAAAAACGGAGGCCACAAAAGATCAGTGGGTACGTCCGCCATGTTTGAACTTATCTTAGCCCAGCTCGGATTGTGCTAACAAGTGTAACACGTAGAGGCTGCTAGGCGGCGTCAGACCAAAGAACTGGTTTTCATGTTGTCTCAGTTAAGGGAAACGAAAGAGCATTTCATCCCTCCTGTCTCGTATACCCACCAGTCCCCCTGCCCCTGCTTGCTGGTCTCTGTTACATCACATGCTAGTAGCTTTTAGGCGGCGATGCATATTAACCCTCACAAGCCATTTGCTTATGCTTATTGCATTTTATTTTCTTTTTCCTGTTCCCTGTATTGGATGTCTGTTCTGCCCCCAACCCCGTCTCCTTTTGTTGCCACTCCATCTCCTTTGCTGCTGCTCCTATCCCAGGGTGCCATTCGCACCAACCTCTCACTGCATAAGTGCTTTATCAGAGTAGAGGATGAGTTTGGGTCCTTTTGGACAGTTGATGATGAAGAGTTTATACGTGGCCGCCATATTCAACGAGGCCGTCCTCGCAAATACTGCCCCGGTGAAAACTCTGACGAGCTTGGCGCACAGTAAGAGCCTTTACTTGCTTTGTTCTTTTGTTTCTGCTGTTGCTTTGGCTTTGCATGGTTGACTCATCCCATGTAGTATGACATTTCACCCCAGAGCAGTGCCACAGCTTTCTGCAACAGAAACTAAACGGTGTGACTTGTACATGTACCTTGCTCGTTTCTCTTTGGAACGCCAGTGCCTAGAACAATGCTTTTAAAAAAAAAATGTCTTTGATGTCAATAATTGACTGTATTTTGATCCAGCAGCTTACGGGGACCCTCAAAGCTAGGTATTTCTGGTGTTACCCACAATCCCTGCAAATGAAAGGAAGTGATGGTTACAGTATATGTCTGGTGGGATAATGTTTTTTTTTTTCTCCTGTGTGAACACTCAAGTAGTAGTAAATTTGAATAACTAAGGATGTGCCTAGCAAGCTGGCATAGGGGTGCATGCCTGTAGTGACAGCCCCTGGAAGGCCGAGGAAAGAGGACTGCACACTGCAGCACAGCCTGAACTTTGTCAAGAGACCCTATCTCCAAAACTGAAAACCAAAGCACAGGGAAAAGATTGATAATGTCATTTCCTTCAAAGTCTGTTGATAAATGAACTCCATTACCTACTGGAAGCCACACTTTCCCTCAGTATGTCCAGTGCAATTTGGTGGTTTTTATTATTATTATTATTATTTTAAACAGGGCAGGGATATTTTTCTTTAAAGAAAAAAAGGTATCTTGGCTCCTTTTACCTAGTCAACAGAAACAACACCAAATCAGAGTGTGCTCTCCCAGACTGGGCTGCAAGAAAGACAATGGCCGAAGCTCCTGCTTTACAATGTAGGAATAATGGCGCTGTTTCCCCAGCAGTCAGGGTCAAGTTCAGCTGAGAGTGAAGCCTCCTAGCAGAGACCCCTCGTGCAGTCCCAGGCAGCCTGCCCTGGTGCCATGCTCCCACCTTCTTGCTGGAGTGTGGGTGCGACTAACCCTTTGCAGACTGACCTCCGAGGGAAATTCCCATGTGTTACAATATAAGACAGCTTCTCCAGGGTGAGCAGCCAGATCCATCCATGGAGGTATCCACCCAGACCAGCCCCCAGACACAGATGATGAAGCTTTTAACTTTCCCTTCAGTTTGGTGACCGGGAGGGGGATGGATTTCTAATGTGGAAAGACTACCAGTAAGCTTAAAGACAAAACTTAGCGCGGACCCTTGGGCGGATTGCATTTAACTTTGAGTCTTTATCTTTTTCTTGCACAGTAACCCTTCCCTTATTAAAAACATGCAGAGCAGCCACGCCTACTGCACACCTCTCAACGCAGCCTTACAGGTAAGATTAACGGCCATCCCCAATTCGCAGCACAGGCGCAGAGCTCCCCCACTCATTTCAAAATATATTAGCCTCGCTCTAATTAGATATTAAATTTTAATTCCGTTAAACTTTTTTCTTAAGTACGCAAAGCATCGTTCTCCCCGGAGGCAAACACATCGGGCTGCTTCAGCGTTAGCAGGATGCTCAGCATTTTGAATATTGTGGCAAAAAAAATTAAAAGTTCACTTATTAATATTTATCAGCAGTATCATAATTTCCATCGTCTTATTTCAGAATTTCACTTGAGGCAAAAATACCACAAGTGTAATTACTCTAGCACAGCTATTAATGTGCTGGATGATAGGCCACCGTGTCACATGACCTTCCATTGTTCACAGGTTTAAAGAGAAAGCAGGGCTTTATTAAAGTCCATTTCAATACCTTTTCTTTCCGTGGGAGTAGGGTCTGGGTTTGTTTCCTCTTGTGTAAGTCAACTGTTTAAGCAACAGAAAGCTTTAGGAAGGTAGACGTTTCCAGACCGTTGTTCAGGAAAACCTAATCATCATCATACCGAGTGTTTCTTTACTACTGACAAATAAATCACATATTACCTCAAGCAGGGTCCTAGAAGGTGAGTGTCCTGGGTGTAAGCGACGGGAGGGAAGTCCCGTGCGTCTAGCCAGTCTTGAGTTTCTGTTCCTCACACCACCACGTTATTTCTAAGACTGACAGCGTATCTGGTATCACTTCTTTTAAATACCTGATGCCATACGCAGATCTCCCTTAAGAGCTCAGGGGTAGCCAGGATCCTTGTAGCCATTGTTTCTGTTTAGGAAAAAACAAAAAACAAAAACAAAACCTACCTTGATTATTCTAGAAGACATGCCAAAAAGAGTCTTGCAACATTTACATCATGTAGACTACAGACAAATCTTGCTTTGGCCATTGCACGCTCCTAGCCCTGTTCACTGTAGCAGAATTGGTTGTTGGATGTGATGTCTTGGAAGTGTTATGGTCCCTCAGAAAAGCTCAAGTGAAGGCAGAAATAGAGAAACAAACTCCAGAAAAGGGATGCCAGTGGGGAAAGGTTTAGAACACGTGGCATTATGAGAACTGGAGGGGGGAGGAAGAGGCATTGACAGCAGCCTGATTCTCACCACTTGCTAAACAAATATTGACTGAGCCCCTATTCTGCTTGCCACAGACCTGTCTTCCCAGCTCACCCGCAGCATCCTCAAGCTCCTTAAGGATAATGTGCCCCGACACAGTTCAAGGCGGACCTACTGAACTGAGCATCTCAGTAATTCTATTTATTTCTTTTTAGCCTAAACCAAATTTACTAGGAGAAAATACTCTCTGCATTTCTTTTAATTACTTGTGGTTTACGTAGTAACTTTAGAAGAGTAAATGAAAGCCCGCTTACACGCTGCCACAGTAAATACCATGCATTAGTAACTTGCTTTCCCTGGAGTCTTGTGAAGTATGAATTTAAAGGCGGTTCTATCTGGATTGGTATTAAAATTACAAGCACATTTTACATTCACAAGGCAGAAAGGGAAAAAAAGAAGGAAGGAGCCTCGTCCTTTGGATTCCCTTAACTCTGACGGATTTCAATTAGCGTGCTTTATCGTCACAGACGTGTTCACACTTCATCTCCCAGACCTTTGTCTTCGCATCCACCGCACACTTCCGTCTTTCCCCTGCTCACCCAAAACTGTCCTGCGGCTTTCCAGGAACACTTTAAGGAGTATCTCCTTGGCCCCTCCTCTTGAATTCGGATTCCCCACCAGTAGACAGCCAATCATACAAGACAGCTTCCTGCCATGCAAATTAAATAAAGACCCCACCAGCAGGCCTTCCTTTCCATTATCACCCACTTCCACTTTGCACGGCGAGTAAAAATAACAGTGCAACAATATCTTCAAAAAAAATTACTAGAGCGACATAACGGCATGATATACAATTTATAAAATAGGACAGCAGAATCCACTACAGAAATAAAACATGGGGCTCGGGACAGATTGCATTATGCTCTGAAAAAGTGAAGTAACTACGGGTAACTGTAAAGCTTCATATTTATAGACTGCCTTTTCCCTGGGGAGCGCAGAGCAGTTAACATTCCAGACGCCGTGGTACTTACGGACTCGTGTGCCATCACCTAAGAACCTTTGTGTTTCTGGCAGAGGTGCCAGTTTGATATGAAGCCACACTCTGTGCCCAGAATCATTTATATAATTAAGTCCATTATAAACATTGTGACACACCTGCTCCTAAGAGCATCAGGAAGGACCTGTTAGAAGGTGATAATTTGTGGGTTGCTCTGATGCTTCGCTCTGCAAAAGACTACTCAGGAGGAATAGTGGTGGGCCAGGCCCCAGAATCCTCCTGTAGCCCAGTGGCTAGTGTTTTGTTTAAAGGCACAAAACTGGTTCTCTGTACTTAGGTTGTGTCTAAGGTCTTGTCAATCGTAAGTGTCTTTCACCCATAACATTTTGAGAATAGAAAAGAATAACAGCTATCCTAACACACTCTAGTTGTTTCCATGGTTTTTACTTCTCAGTTCAGGGCTTCAGAGTCCAATAAAATATCAAGGTGACAGTGGCCCCAGCTTCTTCCCTTGCCGACCATCCAACAGTGCTCTTGTCCAGTGAGAGCAAATCCGCAAGAGGGCTACACAGTTGACAGTCCAGGCAGCACTTAACGTGGCAGGGAAGTGTGACCACTGTGTGGTCTCACATAAGGCAGCTGAAGATGGCAGCCCAGCTGCAGCTGGCAGTAATATTGCTCTGCCAACTGTTCTGCCCAGGAAGAATAGAAATGTTTTATTGCAATTATAAAATATGCATTCGGAAAGCGCTGGATGCAAGCGGATTATCTGACAAGCCATAGGAGAGTGGGAAGTGGTCACCACACTGGGAAAACAGGAGATACAACCCACCTCCCTTTACTTACGGAAGGAAAGCAGATAAGCCCACAGGGGAAGGAGGGAGACACTGGGTTTTACACGGAGCAAGACTGCAGCTGACTAACAGGCAGACTCACTGCAGCCCAGCTCCGCTCCTGTTTCCCTTTGTTCCTGGCTCGTACCTTCTCTTTGGTGCCAGCTTTTCTAGAATAGTGAGGACTCTCACATGATGGTCCAACTGAAGCCACTCTGCCAGATTGTCTTGTGATCGTACTTTCTCTCATTAGGATGGAAAACCAGGCATAGTGTAGTCTGCAAGAAGACAATTTTGATAAATCTTCATCTAATTACAGCTGCCTCTTTTCCCAAGTCTGTCCTCCTGAATAATAAAATAAAAAGTCACTGGGGCACACTTCCTACCCAAGTGTAACAAATGGGCTTCCTTCAGTCCCATGGTATTTTTTGACAATTGTCCACATTGCAGCCAGGGTGGCCTTAATAGTTACATTTGCTATCACAGAAAATGAACAATAGTCTACCAGACTTTAGTTTGGGGGTGAACTTTTTTTTGTGTGTGTTGGGGAGAGTGGTTCTTTCTCATACTTTTTTTTTTTTGGCTGACTCTCACTTGGAGTGACTTTGTCACCTTTAATATCGATATACTTAGTTGTAAAGGAAATAAGATTTAGCCTTTCTTTTTGCTAGAGATTCTTCTTCACTTCCAAAGTCCTCCATGATTGGTCTGATGCTGGAAGCCTAGGCTGTTGCCTTCATCTGGTTATGTCAGCCTTCACTAAGCAGGTTCAAAAGTCATTAAAATGGGAATGATGGGGGAGAAAAAATTGATTCCAGTTCCATAACCTCTTCCTTTACTATGGGTGTTTATGGAAGTTCTCATAAATTTGAGCCATGTGGCCATATAATCTGATCAAATCTTGGATATCCAATAGTGGAGTCATCAAAGTGGATAAAGAAATGAAAATTCCATTATATTTCACTATGAGCTGGAAATATTCAGTTCTTCTTGAAGAAAAAAAAAGGCATTGGATATACTCTTCATATTAGATACTTTTGTCTAAACCATATGACTCCACAAGACAGAACCCAGGAGGCAACTTCACCCATAGACTCATCGGTGCTCAGATAGCTCATCCAAATGAAGCCCAGGGCTCCTACATCTTGGAAGCAAAATCCTACAGCTCCTGGAAATTGTCAGCCACAATACAGTGAACTTGAACCAAAGGCCATCAAACACACCACGCATTCCTAACACAGAGCTTTCTTGTCTTGCCTCCTCTACAATTTCATTGGGTTTCTTTTGGTTGATGCAGGCTTCCATGGCTGAGAATAGCATACCTCTGTACACTACCACTTCCATGGGAAATCCCACTCTGGGCAGCCTGGCCAGTGCCATCCGGGAGGAGCTGAACGGGGCCATGGAGCACACCAACAGCAACGAGAGCGACAGCAGTCCTGGCAGATCCCCTATGCAAGCTGTGTGAGTACTGTCCACTCAAAGCTTTGTCACCTGATCCCAGTCTCCCTGTTAAACTCTTCTCTGGCCCTTCAAGACACCTTCCCCATCATTTCTGATTTCTTAAGAGCCTCAATGTCACTTGTGTCACTTGTTAGTGCGTAAAAGGACTAGTTAGTAAAAAAGCAATCGGCTTCATCCACTGTAAGTGTGCACAGCAAGAAAATGAGAAGTTTCCTCCACTTTGTGTCTCAGACCATTACTTAAGTCACACTGTGATTTTTCTCCTAAAATCAGTACACACCTCTTTGAGAAAGCCCATGGTGTGTTCAGCTTCCAGCGAGGGAAAAGATGCATGTTTACTTGGTTGTGCGCTAAGTTTAACCACTTGAGCTCAGCACCGCAGCATTATTACCAAGCATTAATGATGGCACAAATGAAAGGCAGCATGATTTATAGATTGCTCTTAAAATATCAAAAGGAAAATTAATAGGAGCATTACAGCGGCAGACGGCAGGATAATGAGAGCACATATAACTGAGTGCAGCAATGGTCGCCTGGGCTGCATGCGAATGGCACCAGGACCACACAAATCTCAGCAAGGTCCCCGGGGCGGGGTGCCCCTTTGTGGCCGGTGAAGGTTGAAAACCACTGCCTCTGCCATAGTCCCCCTTTTGTTCCTGGGGAGGGTCCAGCGACAGAAAAGGAACTGTGTGATTCCAGATGCGGGGCTGTGCAGTGGCCCAGGCCGCTAGTGGCAGTCCGTCTCCCTTGTTCATCGAGTTTCTCCAAAACCATGGCCCACTTGCAGTGACTAAACCAGTTCAGTGTTTTCCAGTGCTGTCCGCTCCAAGAATAGGCCACTTGTCTGCACATTCTTTCTGGATTACTGACCAACATCTTATTTTAGGAAATTTGAGGGATGGGAATGGAAAATGTGACCTTTAACAAGTAGAGACAGAATGAACTGGCATCTAGTGACAAAGGGGGTGAAATGGTATCTGCCAGCATAATGGGGGAAATCTGAGATTTTGCTTTCTAGCATTTTAATCCCATGCCCTGACTTCTCTAAAGGGGATCTTTAGAGGTGGGGATGATGGTCTTAATTTGTGGGCATAGTTTCCCAGCGCTGACACGCTCGCGTTTTAAGAATGTCTTTCCCACTATTGCCACCGAATTCATCTTCCCTAAAGCAAGCTGGTGTCTCTGACTCCTTTGTAATCTCACTGATATTCACCATTGTTGGGACATTTTATTTCAATATTCAGAAAGTTCAGGCATCTGAGCCACTACAAGACATTAGCCATTGAGGAAGAATATATGAAGTTACTGAGTAGAAGGCACAATGTTTTCTTACAGTCTGTTCAAACTCAAGGTGTCATCCATGTAAAAGGAAGGGAAGGGAGGAAGGAAGGAAGGAAGGAAGGAAGGAAGGAAGGAAGGAAGGAAGGAAGGAAGGAAGGAAGGAAGGAAGGAAGGAAGGCAGGCTGCTGGCCAGCCAGTCTATGGAGACAGACCTATCCATGATGGAAGTTCAATTGCTTAACAAGATAGAGTGAACCTCATATGTACCAAAAAACCTGTATTTTACAGCAATCATCCTAATGTGTAACACAGCAAAGGCTCAACTGCTTGAAAGAAAGAAAAAAACCCCGCATCGTGCTGTCAAAGCATGGTGTTCACTCGTCAGGGTTACACCATGTATCCCGGGGTGCTCTGTGCCGACAACAGCTTCACTGTGCTGCTATCAGTGTCACAGCCAGTTAGACGTGGTGACCCCATACTTCCATTAAGTGAGTTCTGTAATGACAGAGATTTCATTCTTGTCCAGTGTGCATTACCCTGCTAGGATGCAAATTGTTTTTTAACTGTTCCAGTCTATTGGAATAAATCAAGCCATAAACTTTACAACAAGGCTTACAAGACACTGTTAGGAAGCTGGCCCAGCACATAGGCAGTGTTTGTAATACAGCTGTCTGCTCACTTCACTTTGCTGTGACACAAACCACAGCATTTCCTTTCTCTTAAAAAACAATACAAAAGCAAAAATGAAACCTGCAGAAGGTAGTTGCATAATAATGGTTTGGGGGCAGCGTACTTTCATTCTGGTAGGAGCTAAAGGGCCACCATACCAAAGGCTCTGTGCTGTATGTACACCCAGAGCAGGGAGGGACACAATACCTTGAAACACTAGTTGTCTATAGTTAAAAACCCATATGTTCCCGGGAAGGCTGTACAAAAGGATTACTCAGATGTAAGGGGAACAGAGGGATGGTATTTTGCTCCATTATCCCTTGGGAGTCCTTTTGGAAATAGTAGGCCTGGTAGAGGGAGGCTTAAGAGAGGCCCCCACTGTGTAGCCCTATTCTGTAGCTGGCACACTGTGTCTATGCCCACTGGGAGGGAAGCCTTTAACAACGGTCTGAATCTCACATGGAAGACTGAAGAACCCTTACTGTCATACCTGGAGTAGACTTTTCAGGTTGTTTCACAGTCCATCTAGTTGGTCATATTTGTTGGTCATGCATTTTATGTTAAGCACTAGGGTAGACCATGTAGATGTGCCAGCATCATTACCCATGTTAGGGTGCAGTAAATACTCAATGGATTTTGGGGAGATTGGAATAGTCTCTGGTGTTAGGAACTCCAATTTGGGGAAGCCTTCCATTTTTTGTTCTTGTTGTTTGGGGGCTGGATCTAGCAAACGGTGATTTTATAGTTGTAAAGCAAGAAGGTCACGTTTCCTAGCGTATCCAATCCATACCTCTAAGACTTTGTGTATTATCATCAGACTGTACCTTGCAAACCAGAGATTGATAAGTACTAGGTATGATAGCTTTTAAAAATTTAAGCAGAAAAGTGGTATTCTGGAGAATAGCAGTTGAGTCTCAGCAACTAGTTTATAAAATTGTTTTTAAAGGGCAAATTCCTGTTACTGGACATTACTACACCCACTCAGGCAGTTCATGGAATGATTGGTGAAGTCACAGCTCTCCCTGTAGTGAAGTCAGGAGACAGAACTAAACGTTCACTGTGGCCGGTAATGCAGGGGGTGCGGTTCATGGAGTGTACCGCACACCTGTGAGACCACAATCTGCTTTTTTCAAAGTAACACTTGGGACACTGACATTGAGTCTCACTTGATAACACCCCTCTGCAAATTAATATCCCAATAAATCAGGAGAGCCATAAAGATGTTTTGGCCTCTGCTCCAACAATTGCATTCTTAGACATTTATCCCAAGGAGGTAAATCAACAGAAGGAGAAAGATTAATGGCTAGCAGTGGTTCGCTGTACTATGCAAACGGTAGAGGGGAAGGAAGAGACTGCAGAATGCCCGGTGTAGAGGGACCAGCTTACCAACAGATGGGATCACACATAACCAGAAAACTGTAGACGGAAAAGCCAACAAAATACGAAAAAGAAAGAAAATAATTCCTGCTGTGTCTAAAGCATGTAATAATATGCTCTCCAAAGGGAAGGGAGAGGCTGGCAGTGACCATAATCAGGGCTGGCTACACAGGCATGTGACATGTTCAACGACATGGTACCCCAAGCGTGGAAGGACCCTGCCCTCTTTTGAAGTGTTTGATTTTCCTCTTGAAGTTAATATTTTTCATTCAGGAACTCTGCAGACTAGCTAGCCAGGCCTAAGCCTTATTTCAGAAACAAAGACAAGCACACAACCATTAAGAATTTTAAGTAGCTGGAGACCCACATGTAAAATACACTGATTTGTTGGACAAATGGTTTTTAGGAATATGGGTTTAATTGTTTAAAGCTATTTACCTGACATCTAGCCCCCCAAACTCCCTCAATGCTGCACTAATTTTAGTGTCAATTGATTTTGAAGGTTCCTGTCTTCCAGGGAAGGCCCTTGTTTGTTTTTAAGTGGTACCAGGGACCTTTAGGCCTTGCATACAGCATCAATTATTTAGGAATCCAGCCATCCCTGTACCACCTCTTATTACTAATACTTGATAATGTCCATTATAAGTCCCTCCCATTTGCAGCCTGTCTCAGAGATGGGCACATTTGAACTTGAATGGTTCTTTTGCATATCAAAAGCCCCCCGCTACAGAAAGTCATTTGTATTTGCAAGAGATCAGTTGTAAATATGATTTACGAACAGCTTTTCACAGTTGTTATCAGAGTAGTTTTGTGTGATCATGCCAGCCCCCTTTAGATGAACCGAGCCCCGGTCCATAATGAGAAAGTTGGCAGCTCTCAAGGTAGCTGGAGTGTCCGGGTGGCGGCTACCAGCCGGGCCTCATGTTTTGCCTTGTTTACAGCTGACAGTGTTATTATTCTGATTGGGGCTCTGCTCTCTTATCATATCGTTGTGTTGAGCAAGCCTTTTCCTCTCCGTTTGTGTTTCCTGGCAGGGCTTTTCTTGCCTTATTGACAGTTTGTAAAAATATGCATTAATTTGGAGCTTCAAGCATGTATCATGGTGTCTCTTTGCTGTGCTTGCTTGAAGTTGATTAATGATAGACCCTCGCTCGGGGTCGTCCTCTGGAGGGTTCTCTCACAGGTTCTGCATGTTAACTAGCAGAGCAGAGCACACAGCAAGTCATGATTAGCCCAGGCAGCCTCCTGTGCTCAGTGGGCCCCATGAACCACTGCCGTATTGCAGATCCCCATTGCACATAATTACTTGCAGGGTGGCATTCATCCACCCAGGATGTCTCTACGAGGCCTGTTATTTGGCACTCAAAAGTATGGTCCTGGGACCAGTACCATCACCCGGAATCTCTTCGAAAGGCAGAGTCTGAGCTCCATCTGCTGCACTGTCACAAGGCCCTCCAGTAACTCATGAGTCCTGGAAAGCAGGAGAAATGGAACCTGTACAGAATCCTTCCTGAAACAGGGATGTGCAACGGATATTTCAGCACCAGTGCTGTTACACTGAGGGGTTCAGAAACGCCTGCACACACGTGGTCCCTAGACCCTTGGGACATAGGCAGTGAAAATGACAACAACTTCCCCACCATATTTGAAAAACACATGTGGCCAGGGTGACTCTGCCTCTACTGGACAGTGTTGTCGCTGTAGGACACATCTGCACACCAGCTGTACATCAGTCTAGATACTCTTCTAAGCCTGTTTCTCTCTCCCTCTGTAGGCATCCCGTACACGTCAAAGAGGAACCCCTTGACCCTGAGGAAGCGGAAGGGCCTCTGTCCTTAGTGACAACAGCCAACCACAGTCCAGATTTTGACCATGACAGAGATTACGAAGATGAGCCAGTAAATGAGGACATGGAGTGAACCTCTGGGCGGGCCGACCCCCGAGACCGAAGATTGGGAAAAAAGCAAAACAAAACAAATTAAAAAACAAAACAAAACAAACAAACCACGTCAAAAATTAGCAGTGAAACCGTTCTCCGCTCGTTGTACAGTCTGGAGGATTTTTCGCTACATTTTGACAACTCTGAAAATGTGTTAACTCTTAGTGCCATCAAGAATCCCATTTGGGAGTATTTTTGATTTTTCTACTTTTTGTTGACAAAAGGGATTTGTACTCTGTGCATTGGATGGACCTGTTTGGTACTTGGGATTTTCCTCTTTGAGTCAACATCAGTGTTGTAAATTCGGTAAACGGATTCACTTTTAGCAGCAGACTTTGAACTGCAGTTTGTCCTGCCAAGGCCGACACCGAGGACACCCGACTGAGCTTGCGCACCTGCGCCGCAGACCAAGCCTTTGCCCAAATCGAAGATTCCAGTGGACGACCTATTTGCACAGCACTGCATGTTGATATCACTGCCTTTACTCACTTTGGTTTTCTTTTTGTTTGTTTGTTTTTGTTTTTGCTTCCAGTTGGGATGGGGAAGGCCTTTGTGTGTTTATTGGGGGGAGGGGTTAAAAATAATTATCCCAAACTTTTTAATGTATTGCTTTTTTTTTTTGCTTCTTCTATACCATTTTAAGTTCTGACCTCAGGCCTCCATTTGGGCCCACGGCCTCTTGGAGGCTTCACGTTTTCTGTACCTTGTGATGAATGTTAATAGGTGTTTTTATTATACAAAGCTGAATGTCATTTCTCGTCTGTAGTTTTCCGGCACTCATTCCATTTTCCTATAGACATCCCCACGTTTCTCTCAAGTTTAAAAAAACAAAACAAAACATTCCGTTTTGGTCTTTTTTTCCAAAAAAAAAAAAATCCCAAAGGCTGCACCTTACACCTGAAGGTCCTCTCACAGGGACACGGTGCCCTGCCAGAAAGAGAACGAACAAGAGAAAAGGAGAGAAACACACGCACACATTCTAGGAACATAGCAGATTCATTTCACAGAAGCAGTATTGGGGTGGGATGGGAATGTTTGAGAAATTCTCTTTTCTTTTTATAGTGCCCACCATTGTGAGTAACTGCTACCACATTCTCTCAGCATCAGGAAACACAGCCAAGAGAGACAATGAAAAGAGTAAACAAAACTTAATAATTAGACTGGCATGATGACCATGGAAGGCTCTCCCCCCTATAATCAAGTGACTAGGACCACAGACTCTGTGTTGTCCTTACCAGCATGGGTTGCTTTGTTTGCAAAATGACCAAAAAACCAGCTTCCCTAACTAACTTTACTCAACATGGTGACAGCGCTGAGTTTGTGCGTCAGTTGAGACCAGCTTGGTGGCATTCATCTGTTTTAATGCAAATGAGACTTCACCGTGAACTTGTTATGGGAGTTAATGAGCACTGAGCCCAGTAGATGCTGATGTGTCGGATTCCAGTGTGTAGAGTGGGTGCTGCAGTTCAGCCTGCAGTGTGACAGTGTCACACCACCCTAGTAGCACAAACTTAACAGGTGACACCAGCAGACAGACGGAGGCTCCTGCGACTAGGGTCCACAGAATGTGATGGCTCTAGGTCAGTACAGCCCTCAGCCCTTCAAACCCCTCCACACTTCTGTCTACACCCACCTCCCTGGCATTTATTTATCTAGGGCTGTAGCTTTTGTTTGGGTTTAGTTGGAGAGCCTTTCGAAGCTTAATTTATATACTTTGTACTTTTTATTTCTAAAATTACCAAAGATATTACACAAAGGTAAATTATTTTCTTTTATGCTTTATCTGATGAAGCCAAATATCCTCTTATTGTTGATCAAAGGAGGCAAAAGGATTCAGAGGCAAATGATGAGGCCCAGGCTATTTGCCAACCCGAGGGAAATAACTGCCCCTCCAACAGAGTTCATTTAGCAGACTAAGTAGGCAATGGAACCAAAGTTTTTTACTTTTTTCTTTTTTTTTTTCTTTTTCCTTTTCTGTACTTGTACAGAGACCAAAACTAACTCCTGTAAGGAGAAAATAAGGGGCTACTGCAGAGAAAGAAAAATACAAACAGGAAAACAGTATTATAGCTCCTATGGAAAGAATGGGATACCATCTCAGAAAAAAGAAATGAATGTATGATGCTGAAAATTAGTGTGTAAATCAAGGAGACACTAGGATGACTTCAGAGAGAACAGAAAAGTGTCTGACTGCACTAGGCCACTTCTAGAATAAAGAGATTTTTTTAGAACATTGGTATGCCACTTTTCTTTAAGGGTCGTGCTGTGATCACTGCATTAGTTTTGTTTTATCTTGGCATATATATCCTAGTTCTAGATTCTTTCTGCTTTTTGCTTTTCCTTTTTAAGATTATGATTTGGTCAGCATTTTCATTTACACACAAAAATAGGTGACATTCCCATCCACTCATCAGCTTAGAATAGAACGTCTTTGGCAATTACTTCTGAAGCTTTGCTCTGCTTTCCGTTGAGGGGCGGTCCGTGGTTACTCGTGCCCCCACCCCCACTTTTCCAGGCAGCTTCATGATGTCAGGCAGTAGCCAGGCAGGGTCATGGGAAGGGGGCCTGTGCTTCTAAACGGAGTGGTTGCTGGTTAGATATTGAAAAGAGGATAAAAATCTGGTAGATTAGTTCATTCTCAGCATGTGTAGCTAGACACGAGTAAAGATGACAGCATGAGAACTGTTAGTACGCATACCTCAGTTCAAACCTTTAGGGAATGATTAAAAAAAGTAAAAATATACATTTCACTCAGTTGCACTTAGTCGTATGTCTTGCATGCTTAGTCTAAAGACTGTAGCAAAAAAAATAAATAAGAAAAATTAGATTTTACATATCTTTGCAGGTGTCACAGCCTTGCAGAAGAACCAACTTTAAAAAAGTTCTCAGGCTTTACAGCAAGCAATCAATCTTTTACAGTTCTGATTCTGTCCCTGGGGGGGGATTATGGTCGCTTCTTTAGAATGGGGTTGATTCGGTTGTACATATATCCCGATGTGTCTGTGTCAATCTTTGTCTTTTGTGGGGGAGGGCCGAGGGCAGCTCTTTTTTTTTTAATTATTTTATTTTTTAGGTATTGTTCCTAAAGAGGAATAAATGCATACACCTGTTTGTCAAAACATCTTTGCTTTTTGTGCAACTGCATTTTATTAATGATACTTTAAAGCAGAAGAAAACCACAGTATCTTTGGGGGGAAAATCTACTGTATGTAATGGATTTGCAGTTGGTGCTGCACATGTATTTTATTTCCTTATCCTTGATTTACGAACATTGGATGATATATTGACATGTGGGGGAAAAGAAGAAACTCCAGAACACTTTTTTTTTTGGCTTTTAAATTGTAACATAGTTGACATAATTTGTTTCCTACTCTCATTAATTGGAACATTTTGTACAGGTTTGTGGGGTGGGGCGTGTGTGAGAGAGCGTGTGTGTGTGTGTGTGTGTGTGTGTGTGTGTGTGTGTGTGTGTATGTGTGAGAATCTGTTTTTGATACATTCCTGTTCCTTGTGTTTATCCTGCCACTGCCTTCTTGATTATCTTAAACAAGTTCCTAAGTTTGAAAAGAGAAAAAAAAAGTTGTTTAAAAAAAATGTTCTCTCCTGCTGCAGTCAATATTTTTGCATGATGAAATTCCAGGGTCACACTTTCAAAGGTTTATCAGTAAAGTAGTCATTAATAATGGGAAGTGTTGAAAATATTGAAACTTTTGCATAAAAAAATTTGCAAGGTCCCAAAGTGTAAAGACAATTTGTTACTTTTTCTTTTTCTTTTTTTTCTTAGTAAAAATCAAGCAACCATGAGGGAGGTTGGCCCATGTGTCAGACACACACAGTCATGATGAGGACCCATCTTTGTTGTTCCCAGGTCTATCCATGTGAAAAGGCTTAGGCTGCCGTATTGGGGCAGCAAAAGGTGAACATCAAGACTTATGTACATGGTGACCTAGCTGCCAGTGTCCTCCCCACATCAGAAGACAGTTGACTTGACATTCCCAGTGTCCCATTAGCCATAACGAAGCAAGCCTTGGTTTAAAAGATAAACAAAATAATAGAACCAAAATGTAATGTAAATCACTAGCTCTTATTTTTTAATCACACACGAAATCTATTCGAAAAGTCTCCTCTTTTCCACATTCTAGCTGAGCTCTGTCTCCAAGGGCACACAAGCAGACTCTGCTAATGACTTTGAATCTTTTTGGTACCTTTTGGTCAATGCCATACCCTCCTGACAGTCTGGAAGTGTTTTGCAACTCGGTTTCACTTTTACTATCCTGAGAAGCAAATGGACAATTCTAGCGGCGTCTTGTGGGTCCACTGTAACTCAATGCAGTCCCTTCTACCCAGGAGCCTGGGTGGAGATGGTGCGGTCTGGGTTGTGAGCGTGGTGCTCTCTGTATATGTGCTGCCACTAACAAGGATTGTTTTGTTTTGTTTTGTTTTGATAAGGCATAAAAGAATCTCATTCCTTGACATCAACTGTAATTCCATCATTCCATGTCTGTGGATACAGACAATAAAAAAAAATGTTGTGTAGTCAGTACTAGTGACTGACATGAGAGCGTTCTCAAATGCAATAAAAATGCTGGTTGTTCACACTGGTAGACAAAGTTGCCACAGCCTAAGTTTTTTCCCCCACTTCTGACCTGCTGAGACTGTATGGCAGGCATATGCTGCAAGCTTCCCCTTAGCCACAGCCTCCCCCATACCAGATGCACAGCCTGATGAGCAGGCTAAGGGAAGCTATTCGAAGAAGGGTTCCAAGGGATGGTGGAAGGGCCAGCTCTGTCAGAGGGAGCACGCTCTCTTCTTCACCGAATTTGATAAGAAAAAAAATTGTTTCATAACTAACAAGAAGAGCCAAACTAAAATTTTGGAGGAAAGCAATTTCATGAATAATTCATTGACATTTCACATCTGCAAGATCAGTCATCCAAATAAAATGCTAACGTCAAAACCACCATCTACTGTATTCTCATCAGCAAAGCTTTTGCATATAATGATAAATGCTTAGATTAGAACAAATGATCTTATAAAAATGTTCTATCAAAAGTGTGCTGGGTTAACTACACAGAGAAGACAGCAGAGCTGGAGGGAGAGCCCTGGGTCCCAGGAAAGTACCTGTAGAGGTTATTTTTAATTCTATACTTATAGAAAAATGTGTGTTCTCTCCATAACTTCATCCCATCACACATATTCTAAGGACTGATGAATGATACCACCGGGTCTTTTTAACACAAATCTCACTGGCGATATGCTGAAAGGAACACTACAAAGCTACACGTGATAGTCCACACCTTTAATCCTAGTACTGGGGAGGTAGAGGCAGGTTTATCTCTGTGAGTTTGAAACCAACCTGGTCAGGCTACATAGACCCTGGCTCACCAAGAAACAAACAAACAAACAAACAAAAACCAGGGAGTGGCCAGACCACAGCACATCAGTAAGACTTTGAGATGACTAGTGGACCTTGTTGGGGGGGTGGGTGTCTTTCCCAGCACAGTGTACCTGCCTGTTTTGGGGGAAGAATTAGAAGGAACTTTCCTGCATTGTTTCTGAATCTCCATTTTACTTTTTCTACAACAGTATGATTTCGTTTTGTGTTTGTTTTCATTTTGAGATAGGGACTCACTATGCAGTCCTGGCTGGTTTAGAATTCCCCTAGGAAAATCAGGCCACCTGCCTTAAATTTGCAGCAATCCTCCTGCCTCAGCCTCTCAAATGTTAGGATTATAGATAATGTACCTCCATGGCTGACTTTTTTTATTTCCTTTTAAACAAGTAGCTATTGTTACCAAGATAGGAATCAGAACCCTCTTCTCATTGATTGCGCTGCCAGTCTGCAAGCACCCTCATTCGATAATTAGCAAAACATTTGAACCTTTAATTCTCACCTGGCTGCTAAGAATATAATACCAGGGTTAACTGAAATCCCCTTAATTGCTAGGCTTAAACACAGATGCTGCTCACAGGGTATACTGTTAGCTGTGCACACACATTCCTAATAAAACACCCCAGGACCCGTGCAAGTATGAGAGTATGTATAGTGGAGGTTCAGCTGGCCAATACACACCATATTTTAAATTGCATTTCGGGAATCATTCCATAGCAGAAATACTCTGAAAAGATTCATCTCAAGCTTGCTCCTCCCATAAGGCAGCTAACCCAAAACAACTTCTCCTATTAAACAGGGGCCTTTTATATAAAGAGCATAAGCTCTCTCTATAAAACAATATGGGGAGCTGCGACATAAACCTGGATAAACAATACAACTAGCCTTTTTAATAGGTCGTCTTCTTTAGTAGTACACATGTTTATGTGTAGACGAGTATGACAATTTAACTTTTCATTGTAGTTGAGTCAAATCAAGGTATCCTTCCTTATTCAAATCGAAGTTGGGTCTCAAGTCTCCATTTAAAGCTCTAGTTAGACTGATGAACATTTTCAGACAGAGTTCATATCAGAAGAAAAATAAATGCAAAACTGCTAACATAACTGTGAAATATTGTGTGGATTTGAAAACCATCACTCAGCTGGGCAGTGTTGGTACATGCCTTTAATTCTAGCACCCAGGAGGCAGAGGCAGGTGGATCTTGGTAAGTTTGAGGACAGCCCGGTCTACAGGGTAGTTCTAGGACAGCCAAAGCAACACAGAGAAACCCTGTCTCAAACAACAACAATAATCAGTCTATAGAACTTATATTGATTTTTTAAACACCACACACACATACACACAAACACACACACACTACACTACAACCCTATAGCATTTTATTCCCACTTTGACTAGTAAAGCCATACTGAAGGTGTAATATCAAATATATATATGTTAATTTACCCATCTGAAGCTACCAACAGTTGCCTCTGCTCCCCAGCCTCAAACCAAGATGGCAGGTTGGGAGAAGGACAAGCTGTGAGTTATAATGTTAATTGAAGGTAACCGGCCTTTCAAGAATTAATCTCAGCTAAGGCGATGATCATTATTTACTAGTCCATGACATTTTTATCACTCATCATTTTAGCACGTTTCTATTGAAAATGCTAAAATGGTTCGTCATAAGGCAGATAAGTACTTCAGCTGTAAAAATGACCAACACAAGTGGCGGCACTCGAACATTAAATTATACTGTAATTAATATAGACAGTTAAACTGTCTACTACCAACAGCAATTTAGGTAACCACATTTGATCAGCTATAAATTGTAACTACATTAAAATTCCAGAAATATTAGCAATATGGATTATTTGATGGAAGTCTGAGCTGATCAACTATCCTTTTCCTCTCTCTCTCTCTCTCTCTCCCTTTCTCTCTCTCTCTCTCCCTCTCCCTCTCTCTCTCTCTCCTCTCTCTCTTCTCTCTCTCTTAAATAGGTCAGGTTGACCACAAATCCATGGGCGAAGATCAGGCCTGGCACTTTTAATTTCATGAAACAAGCAATTACAAATAGTTGTATCGATTTGTTAAAAAGCTTTAGGTGACATAAATTGTTTCCTGTTTAGCTTATTGCTCTGATACATAAATGTCACCAAGTCCAGTATTAATTAGGGCCCTGGGAAAACACGAGGGGGCCATCACGGGTTCTGTTGTGAAATTTGTCACTCCTTTGTGAGCCTTTTTAGTAGCATCATTTCTCATTAGTGACAGGCAGAGGCAAGGAAAACTATTTTGTTTTGTGAAGTTTTTAATGCCCACTCTCTTATTCCAAATGAAACTGCAGGACTTTGGACTTGCTTTATTGCAAGTTGATACACAATACCACATTTCAAAAATATCTTCTAAATAGAATAATATTTAGAAGGGATGTCAGCCTCCAGCAGGCTAACACATCTAACCCTTCTCAATGTATGGCACTGTATGTGTTTCTTTGGGGTTCTATTTCTACACTTAAAATGCAATTTTAAGTGGCTTGCACACACTATTGACTTAACATAAATCAAATGTATCATATGTGCTTTCTTTATGTTGGCATGCCACTTAGAAAAATATGTGCAATTCAGGAGGAAGGAGGGGTGAATAGACAAAATTTATTAAATATAAGTTTTTACTGTAATAGAATATTAATCTAAGCCAATGCTCATTTGCCATTAAACTGATCCCTTTTTTAAAAAAAAATACACATGCTTTTTATTATTTTGCACTCAAGCAAAAATTCCACATCCAAAGACTTTCCATTTAGCTGGGAATGTCTTTGGCAAGCAACATGTCAAGAAAACTTGACCTACAGAAAGACAGCAGACAATGTCCACACTGAGCATTAACCCACGGGGCAGAGAAAGTAAATGTGACTGACTCCCCAATATCAGAATGGCAGTCAACAGCACAGATGAGGGAGGAAAGGTCCTTCCCCAGAACCTGCCTCTTTGCTCCTGTAGTAGCACATAGTTGAAAATGTTTGATTTGCAACATAAAAGATTCATTAATTACCACTTGAATATTTAAAGCTATTTTACAGTCTAACAGAGATAGATAAAGCAGTGAATTAAAACCTCTAATAAAATTGTAAAAATATTTCAGTAAGTTTACCCGTGTTATGATTTAGGGAGAGGTTCAAGCATTCTTACAGAATAGTCTTTACAAATTTCAAGTGTGTATCTGGAGGAAGGAGCTGAGCGCCGGGAAATAATTTGTTGCTCACTTGCAAATGTTTACTAATAATTTGCTTTTGATTCAAGCTTGTTACCTTAGGACACCACAGACAAAGTAATACCTACCAAGTAGATTGGAAAGAAGCCTTGTATGTCTAATTCAGGAATTCATCATCTTTCACTGGACTTTTTAATCGCTAAAAACAGGAAGCCCTGAGGATGCAGCAAGCATCCCTGCCCCCCTGATCTGTGTGACTTGTTTGAGTCGGGAACTTTAGAGAATTCATTTGGTTCCTGTGGTGCTCATAGGAGACTGTGCAGGTCACACCTCCACCAGAGCTCTGACCATAAGGTATAGCATGGTTTGACAAGATCCTTTATCTCTTTTGTCCTCAACTTCCTCTTCCTGTGAATTCAGGACATTTCACTAACAGGTGACAAGGATTCTTTCCCATTATATTGTTCTCAAAATTTAATAACGTCCCCTCTTTGGGGAGTTTTCTTGATGGGATCTGCAGCAGAGAGAGTTTATGCGCTACTCCGTATCTCCCCAATATTAAGATCACCTTCGGATACTCCTGCTAACATGGTCTCTTTGAAACGGGCCACTAACCTGCATGCTTGCATCCCCCTGGAAGCATTCATAACATACTCAAACCCAACACTGGAGATCAGCTAGTGAGTAAGACAGATAAAAGACCTTTGATCTCATGGTCCCTGACTGTTCACATGGAAGTAAATCCTGGAACATTAGGTTGTATGGCCGTGTGCTAAGTACTAATGAGACACAGAATTTCAAAATACAGGAAGACCACTTGACTCCACTGGGGACCACTGGCGAGGCCGTCCAGAATACACACTGTTTAATTAAAACCCCAAGGATGTGTAAGTTTAGGCCAGATGGCAAGAAGGAAGGGAGAGTCCAAATCAAAGGGAATTCAAGGGCCTGGAGTGTGAGAGGAAATGAACCCTAGGCAGGGATCAGCCATCACTGAGAGAGAAAGACCGTGAATAGAGT